GTATGTATAGTTTTGATATGGCCGAGAAGTACTCGCTAAATGTAATATCATCCCTTCTTCGCCCATCGGCTAAGTCTGTCTAGGACATGAAATTTTAGTACACAAACTTGAGATGCTACCAAAATGGAAGAACAACATGCAGACTAATCGAGAAAGTCAAATTCAAATGGTAGAAAGACCTAACCCGGGGGATATTGGTCCGGTTTGCCCTAAAGCTCCCCATGATGAATGTTGGTTCTTTGTGACTCGTGAGCAATATTATGCAATAATTTGGACTGCAAGATCTTCGCCGTGGAATGCTCAGCGTGACCAGTATAATGTGCCCTTTTCGTGTGTCAACTTCGACTGTCAAGAGGGCAGAAGTCATGCTGTTGTTGAGTTTGTGTGGGGTGTTTCTTATCGTTATCGCTACGCCATCACTCCTTTCTTATGATTTCTTAGAACCATAAAATGTGTTCGTGCAAATCTTCAGTTACTGTTCTCGGTATGAGTGGGATGTGTGGGTTATGTTTTCTGAAGGTATAGAAATGCTTATTTGTTTAGATTTGGAGAACTTGATGCATAAGTTTCTGTAGTAACTTATTTGTAGTATTTTGGACCATCATTTTTAGTGGCTTGCTATCCCTCTCTGATAACATAGGCTTAGTTGTTGGCTAACATTAGGCGTTTTCTAATACCTTTTAAAGCAAAAATGGTGCAGTTTCGGTTTGAAAGGGTGTCGAGTCGCACTTAGAACATCTAGCTTTCCTCTTGTACTGGTGTCCTCTATGAACATAGCCATAACAATTCACCCATTTCCTGTGGGCGTGACCCTTTCAAATTCAGTTACCATATATCATCTGAAGATGTACAAGCCAGTCTGATTTTTCAGCTGAGAGATGGTTTGCAGACCTGCCCTTTATGATGTATTTTGTCTGATCTCATCTGGTCTCATCTCCACAGTAATGAGGGTAGTCAGTGATAAATGTTTCTCAGTCGGCTATAATCCTCGACTTTTACTTTAAACGTGGTCGTAAGAACGTCGAGCCATCATTAATGGACGAGATGGCTCGTGAGTTTGAATGGTTGTTGTGGTTGATGAGATAACTCATCAACCCCAACTCCGTCTCAATATTTATTCAATCTAAGTGCTCTTCGGGCACTGCCCGAGGGGAAGGTTGATTGGGCTCTCCTCCCCAACACCCGTCAGGTAATATTGTTTCACCTTGGTGTGCACAGCAAGATAGAGCTGAAACTCGGGAGGACGGAGGGGCGCTTTCCGCATTGTTTTTTTTTTTTTTTTTCTTAATTTGTAGAGTATTTATTGTACCGACGACTGCAACTTTGTCCCCAACAAGAATATCATCTTCAGGTATCCTTAACTATCGTTAATTAGAGAAAAGGCTTAAACTCGACCCCCTCAAATTACAGTTTGGCAGCGCTCTCTAAAGCTAGCGGTTCTACAGTGGAGATTATAGCAGGTTAGAGGAGAGGTGTAATTTTCCTGTGTCATTGTCAGAACGGACCCCCCAATCCTGTGCCCATTGTTGCCAGGGGGGGGGGGGGTTAAGAGGTGGAGACTGGGATCCAATGCTGGGGATCACCCCTGCCTTGGGCCTCAGCCCTCGACTAAACTAATTTTGCATGTTTTTTTCCCTCCCTCTTTCCGTTTATCTCCTTTCTTCAACCCCTTCCCTTTCCTAAGGTATGTTGAGATGCAAGGATGACTTTTCGTCAGTCATGAACGACCTGGGGGAGCCATGGGCACGGTTTTCCCCTGTTTACTTGTCTAGCCCTTACCCTTCGAGGGGACCCTGAGGGGTGGACTGTTTCTCTCCCCGACATACTCTAGGCCAAAAATGAAAACTACACCATTATCAGGGGCAATAAGGTTTGCCCCTTCATCAAATAGCCCCAATGATCCATATTCCCCTGGTTTACCATCTCCAGGCTCTCCTTTGACCACGACTCTGAAAACGGCTATTGCCATCTCCACCTTAATGCCTGTAATCACATCATTCAGCAAGGTCAATATTCAACCTCCAGAAGACCTTCCTCCTCTCCCAACATCCTCTTCTTTATCTTCACTCCCACAACTTTCTTCGTCAACTACCATCCTCCTTTATTACTACTCTACAACTTTATTGTCCAAATCTTCGCAATACTACCTCCCTCAACACTACTCCCTCTTCCACATGCCCCCGCCTTTCTACTACTCCCACCTCTATAAACCACTTAAATACACTATTTAGCCCAGCCACATGTTTCATACTGAAACTTGTAGGTAGGGCAGCCCCCATAGAATACATTATGGGAGCCACCACAACTGCCAACAAGTGCGTGACTGTGCAGAGCAGTTTGATCGATTATGACCAGGTTGGGCACATAGGGCATCAGACTGTGGAATGGCAGTGTTTGACAGGATGGCCTAGACTTCCACAATTCTGACACTGACGAGCGGGGGTGGGGGCAGGGAGGGATTCTCCGCCAGTGTGAACAGTAAAAGCGAGGTCATGTCTACGGAAAGTTATCCTGGTAATATTTGGTGGGGGACTTACGACGACCTCTAGGGTGAATGGTGCAGCATTATACTGATACTGCAAAGTCGATGAGGCAGACGAGTAAGTCTTCTCCACAATCTGACCAATTCTTGTTGTAGGCAGGGCAGTTTGTTGGGGACATAGAGGCAGTTTCGGTACAAATGATAATTCTTGAGCTTGGGTTTTGGATGTAACTGTGACGAGACGGGAACGATCGGGTCAGATGCTGAAGGAAACTTACTTTTTTTTTTAGACATTGCTGGAAGAGGAGAGTGTTGTGTGTGTGTGGGGGGGGGGGGTACGAAAAATCTGTCCCAGCTTCTCCCTGGACCCTTTGTCACAGCAACCCCTTCCCTCGATTCTCTCCATCATGACGTTCTCACTGAGTCTGGTCTTTGAGAAAAAAAACATTCAATTTCATTCGTCAGGTTTGATCAAATTGTGCTTGTTAATCCCTACCTTCCTGAACTGCTATACGACTTCTGACGTGTAGCATTTATAAGCATCAACTAACCCCCTCTTTACCCTTTTTCACTATTACACCTCTCTATAGTGCTATATGACCTTTGACGTTTAGCACATTTATTTTGCTCTGTGGCCATTAACGATTAACCTTTGTCAGAACGGTAAAGAAACCGATTAGAGAATAAGAAAAAAATGAAGGATCACAACGAATTTATTATATTAATCATGATAATGAGACTAAAGTAACAATTAAAAAAAAATCTTGGTACACTTGTGACCCTGGAAACCAGAGGTGTACAGTGACATTTTTTTTTCTTGTCTTCTCTTTTTCTTTATTATTATTAGGTTTACTCTCTTTTCTCTGTCTGCCTCGCGGTCTACAGCAAGAGAATAGATGGATTAAGGGGAAAGGAGTGGAGATTGAGGGGAAAAGAATAGATATTAAAGGAAGTCTGAAACAGAAAGGAGGGCGTGAAACACATTCCTTATTTGTTTGTTTTCTGTCAACAAGGGGTAGTATTCACATTTATTCTGAATTGCTTCTATGAAAAGCGCTAAGGAAGAAGGATGGTAGAATGCGCCTGGGAAAATAATTAGAGGCGAACTGATCAAACAAAAAGGAATATGTGGAGGTAAAAAGGAGAAAGAAAAAAAAACAGTCTGAACAGCAAACACATAATCCAAAATATTAACGGAAATAAGTGGTTGAAGATGAGGAAACGTATTAAAATAAAGGTAACGAAGACCTCAGTGATGATGCGGACAGAGTTGCAGGTTACGTGGGTGAATAAATGGTATTAGGGAAAACAAAGAAAACGCTTTGATTATACATGCACATATATATATATATATATATATATATATATATATATATATATATATATATATATATATATGTATATACATATACATATATATATATATATATATACATATACATATATATATATATATATATATATATATATATATATATATATATACATATACATATACATATACATATACATATATATATACATATACATATATATATAGATATAGATATAGATATATATTAAATTATATATATATATATAATTATATATATATATATATTATATATTCTTTAGAAAGAAAAAATGTCATTGCAATCCAGGGTGTTAGGTTCATAAGCGTGCCAAAAGAAAACGTGCGGAACAAAATGATAGTAGTGCTTGGTGAGATACAGAGGTGATACAGGCAATTGTTCTGAGAAAAGAAAATTGTACATTTACGTGCATGTTTGCATAGAATATTAGTTTTTTTTTTTTTTTTTTTTTTTTTTTTTTTTTTTTTTTTTTTTTTTTTTTTTTTTTTTTTTTTTTTTTTTTTTTAGTTTTACTGAATGCCTTGATCTATATATAGCTCCGCCCACAATGCCTGATTCCCCCAGAATTCTGAATATTTTAAAAAATCAATGTTTTTTTTTGTAGTGTGTGAATTGAAAAAAATGGCATGTTAATGATGCTCTCCGTTTTTTTTTAAAGCAAGTTATAAAATGGATCTCAAAGAACTTACATATTCAGTTGATTAGTTATAGACATGCATTTCATATCGAAATCTAGCTTACATGGACTTTTTAAGCGCATATTTTTTCATCACTTTCCATTCTGTAACAAAACTCATTTGTGCATCCCTTGGTTGATGAATCGTGCCCAAACAATAGATTACACAATATACAGATGTACGAGTATGTAGAAATACAGCTAGGTAACAAGTGATACTGAAATGGCTGAAATTGTGTAGGCATGAAATTTCCTATAAAAAAATAATAATGTGCATGTATATGTACATATTATTTCCCTTATTCTTATATAAATATAAACTCTCCATTCCTCCAACGTTTTGTACGTAAATGTAAAGTAAATAGAATAATCTTTAAACCAGATCGCCCAAGGGAAAGGAAAGTTAGAAGGGAAACCGAGTCAATAACATTGTCGGGAAGGGAAAGTCTGAAGGGAAACCGAGTCAATAACATTGTCTTCCTGAGAGTAAGCGCCTTCTGTGTTGATGCCCCTCCCCCCCGCGAGGACGAAGACATTTAATGCGTTTTTCAGCGATTTTATGAAAGGTAAGGCCTTCTCTTTTTTATTTTTTGATGGATTGTAGGGCGGGAGGACAAATTTTCTACTTTTTTCCTCTAGTCATGAGTGAAATTGTGAGATATCTTGTTTTATTACGACAATTATGAATATATAGGGTTATATATGTTTATTATTTTATGGAGTTTCGTATTTTTAATAGTGTGTCTTGAGGTTATTACTTATTTTGTGTTATTGTTTACCATTTGTGAGGTTAATCTATGATATGATTTATTTTAGGATTACCATAAAGAAAATAGTTGAATAGGGAGAGGCATTTCTCACTGTTTTTTCGAAATCGTTTAATAACTTGATCTGTTTCCATATTTATTTGTTTGTTTATCTGTCTTGTTTATCTGTCTTCTTTGTTGAATATTACACCATGTGATGTGCGAGAGAGAGAGAGAAGAAGGCTAATGTATTGGTTATAAAGAATATTGTAATGTGTCATAGAATGGTAATTGGGAAAAAAGAGAAAACTAGTTTAATGGCCATAAACACATAAACACACATACAAAACGAGACATTTTAGCATAAGAGTAAATTTGTACAGTAAAAGTAAGCCAACAATCTTTGTTTATTAAATTGTTCAGGTCACAACTAACCCTGGAAGTTAGTCTAATAAGGACCTGGGCCAAGGTCTACGTAGGCCATGACAGTCATTTAGGCCAGGGTGCATTCTCTGTAAAACTCACGCCGGAGGTATGCCAATAGCTCATCGAGTTTACGCCAACATTCCCGATAAGAGTAATTTTTCATAAAGTATGATGCCAAGTTATAGCTAAGTAGATTGTTGATGGCAGCACACACTTTTTAATAAGAAGCGTGCATTTTTTCCCCCAGCCTTGTGATTCTTGAAAATTTGGGATTTTGAGCCTCAGATGTTTGTTAAATAATTCTTAATTTTACTACTCTAAAAGATAAAGTAAAGATAAAGCATGCGCCGAGATTTTTCCATTTCATTACGCCAATACGCCAAGGAATATAATTTAGGCTAAATCCACGCCGCCACACTGACAGGAAAGCTAACTCCACACCGGAGATCTTCGGGCCTATGTTTGAACTGTTATTTTACTCACAGGATAAGTTTCCTTTATCTCTTCCTCCCTAAAAAGCATTAAGAATATAAAGGTTTAAACTCTATGTAACTGAAGAGTTTAAGATATGGAGATGGAAACTATAAGCAGAATTTAGGGAGCTGATTTGATGACCATTTTTGGGGGACATTTACCACATGCTGCTGGAGAAAGTGAATGAAAAATAGGGAAAATACTGTGCTCGTTTTTTATATTTTTTGAAATGTCTCTGTACACAGATGGCTCTGCTAGTGCTTAGCCACAAAGGAGTCAATTAGTAGACCTTGTGACCTTACCTGATTTCATCTTTCCTTGAATTGGCAGAAGAAAACATATTTTTTACTAATGTTATGAATATCGATGGTGTTATTTTTATTATAGAAATTATAATTACTACAATGTTTTAAATATTAGTAACAGTAAAACGAGGTAACATATAATACTTTCATAATTCAAGGAAAAAGGTAAACAGGTGAGACAGGCAGTACTCATAGTTGGCTCATTGGTGACTTAGTACATGTGTAGCCATCTATGTATAAAAACAATTATTAAAGTAAACTCACAGTGGGCATGGCATGTATGTACATGCCATGCATGTCGGAATTGGGTTCAAGGTAAGAGCCTTACCCAAGCTTTGAAATTTGTAACTTGTGTACAGAAAAGGTCATTATGAAACTCATTCTGAAAATGGTGAAAGTATATTTAGGCAAGTGTAATACTGTGGATGGGCAATTACATTGCTTTAGGTACTCTACAGTGAATAATCTCAGAATGAGACCTTTCATTCTCCTTTCGTGTGTTTGTTTGCAAAAAATATAGTTTGCCCCTAACACCCAATAACAAACATCGTCTTCATCTTGGCATGCATGGCAAGATACAGCTGAAACTCTCGAGCAAAGCAATCTTTTCCTTTATTTGTGGTGTTACCATTATTTCTTGTTCTCAAAACTGCAACTCTTAGTCCTCTACAAGTATTTCATCTTCAGTTTGCCATAACTTAGGGCTCTTCTTCGTAATCTTCCTTCTTCCTATTCCTCTTTTTCCTACTTCTTCCTCTTCCTCCCTCCTCCTCCTCTTCCTCCTCTTCCTCCTCTTCCTCCTCTTCCTCCCTCCTCTTCCTCCTTCCTTCCTTCCCTCCCTCCCTCCCTCCCTCCCTCCCTCCCTCCCTCCCTCCCTCCTTCTCTTTCCTCCTCCTATTCCTTGTCCTCATCCTACGTCTCCCTCCCTACTCCCTCCTCAAATTCTTTTTCTACTATATTCAATTCATTCTCTTCCTCTTGTTCCTTCTTGCCCCTGTCCTCTTTATTAACTTCATCCACCTAATTTTTCTCTTTCTACTGCAAATCTCCCCTCCACCCTCTATCTCTTCCTTGTCCTTCTCCATTTTGTGTCTTTTTCAGGTCATTGTCTAACTTTAATTTTATTCTTGTACGATATATTTGCATATGCAAAGGTCCTCCATTGCTGATTTTAATTGACGGTGCATTATTATTGATTATGTAATTATCTACGCTTTTGATGCTTCATTCATGTTGGTTCAAATAAAGTCATAGGATCTTTCTTTTTTTTGTCTGACTATAGAATTGTGTGATTCTATAAATAATTAAACATTTGTGGAGAAGGACGAGGAAGGATTTTGAGTTATTCCTTGGTATAGGTAGCAAATCATCTGTACATTTATACATCTGATTATTGTTAATGTGGTTTATTCCTTATTAGATTCCACAGTAAAAGTCTTTTGGAAATATTTTATGCAGGGGTGAGATGTGGATGAGAGACATCCATCAAAATATATAATTGCAAACTAATTACACTAGCAGTAGCCATTGGACAGTGACATTGGTATAACTTGAGAATAATAGGTATAGATTAGTCTTTTACAAATAATAAATGAGGACAAGCACAAGTTAGTTTTATACTTATTTCAGCCTTGACAAGTTGGATTTAGTCTTGTATGTGAAAGAAAGGTCAGAGTCCCTAATTCATCCTGTTCTCAGTTGGTGGGTGTCCTTTACTACATACCCACGGACAATCATCTCCATGGGTACTTCTCACTGACAAGGCTCAAGTAGAAAAATATGAAATGCTAGGGTAAGTTCTCAGTACAGAGTGGTTCTTTTTTTTCAGTGTAAGAACTGTAGTTGATGACCTGACTTACTGTAATAATTTTCAGTAAATGTTGTGCATCTTTGGTGTATTGTATAAATTGTTCTGGGAGTAGAAGCCTCGTACGTAGTGTTGTAACTTGTTTGTCTTTTTGTTACCTTGTTTTGCATTGCAAAAATATGATTGAAAAAAAAATATATATATATATTTTGGTGCAATTATTAAGAGCTGTGAATTGTCCATTATTCCTTACATTTAGCTTTGAAATCATTTAGCTTGGTTATTTTTCACTACAGACTGATTTACATTTGATGTAGTTAATTTTTTTTTTCTAGGAGACTGTATAAAAGGGTTAGGTCTACCAGTGATATTGAAATTTCCCTCTGTGAATTTATTGTTCAGAATCAATTTTGATTCTTTTGGTATGAAGACAGATGAAAGACACATTGGCAATAGCTTGAAAATACTGATGATAAAAGAAAGTTGTTTCAGTGACAAAAGTAAGAATATATTAAATTCATTCCCTAACTATGATGCTGTTCAGAAGGGTCATAGATTACATTCATTGGAAAAGTTTTCTCGATATTTGATATAACATATAGGTGTGCTTTCTAACACAGTTTTCCTATTGTGTTAGGCTTCTGAAAAAGAAATGCAAAAAAATTCTCATGAATAGGGAATATGCACACAGTGCACACAGTCATTATTGGTAGTTGTATTTTTAGTTGCTTAGAAAAATGGTAGTTCACTTAAAAAAAAAAATGGTTTGTTTTCAAACATGCTGTCATTATTACTCTACATTCTCCCTTTCTGTTCAGCCATTTTGCCCAGCAGATAATAACTGTTACAAGCAGATACCACAGGACACTATATTTTAAACCATGGTTCTTTAGAGTATATTTTGTGCAAAAGGCCATGACTGGAAGGAAAATATTCTGTAGGTTTATGAGGAAAAAGTCCTATTTAGAAAGCCATTGTGAATGTCTTCTAAGCATTTACCACTGGCTGTCCTGTATGTATGATATTTGGTTGAAAAGCAAATAAAGTTTTGAATTTCTGAACTTGCTTTTATGCAGGGATGAGATGTGGATGAGAGACGTCCATCAAGATATATAATTGCAAACTAATTATACTAGCAGTAGCCATTAGATAGTGACATTGGTGTAACTTGAGTTAGTCTTGTACTTAAAAAGATATAAAGAATATATAAAGAAAAACAGGTATGGATTAGTCTTTTACAAATAATAAATGAGGACAAGCACACGTTAGTTTTATACTTATTTCAGACTTGACAAGTTTGATTTAGTCTTGTATGTGAAAGAAAGGTCAGAGTCCCTAATTCATCCTGTTCTCAGTTGGTGGGTGTCCTTTACTTCATACCCACGGACAATCCTCTCCATGGGTACTTCTCACTGACAAGGCTTAAGTAGAAAAATATGAAATGCTAGGGTAAGTTCTCAGTACAGAGTGTTTTTTTTTTTTTTTTTTTTTTTCAGTGTAAGAACTGTAGTTGATGACCTGACTTACTGTAATAATTTTCATTATATGTTGTGCATCATTGGTGTATTGTATAAATTGTACTCAGAGTAGAAGCTCGGAGTTGCTGAATCTTGTGTTTTTTTCATGGTTCAAGTCTTATGATTTTGTTAAGGTAGGTATTAGTCAAAGAATATGAACATATTGTGGGTATTAGTTGTTTTGGCAAGGAATTTCTAAAACCTTTTAGTTTGTTTTCCTCCTATCAATTTCAGCTTTATCTCTGTATCTTTTGGGGGTGTATATTGAATATTTATTTGATTATTAGACTTTCTTTCCTATATACATACATAATATACTTCAGATTGTATGTATGTAATATTTCAACCTTTCTAGTTTGTTATTCAGAAGCTTGCAGAAGCATTCTTACTTAAAATCTTGTCACATGTTCAGGAGGCAAGTGGTATTTGAGCATGCAACTCGGCAATTTCCGAGCATGGTAATGAAACATGCTAGAGGGAATGGTTCTGCAATCCAGCTGTTCATTTGTCTTTTGTGTTTTCTGTGACTTTATCCCTTAATCTATGGAGTTGGTGTGTGAGACTGCGAGTGGCTTGACTGCTGAAAAGCATTATTTATCTGCCTTACGTGTATATTCAAGCTGGGTCAGTACTTTGGTTACACGCATCTGGGTTTATTTCTCATTGAGTCTACGTCTATGCTTTATCACCATACTTGCTCATTGATCATATGACAAGGTCTTTAGTAGGTGACTTTTTAGGCATCTCAGAATATAGTTACTTCTGTTTAAGGATGTTCAACATTTGTGTGTATGTATATGTGTGTGTAGCTTAGTGACCACACAGGAATGTTTTTTGGAGAAAATGGGTATTCACATATTGAGTAGATTGACATAAAGGCAGCCTTTGCCCATTAATATGAAAATTATCAAGTATCACAATGATGTTATAAAAAGTATCATAATAGTTGCAGAAAAGGTTAATCTGTCAGATTAAGATTAAAATTTTTAGGGTATTTAAAAATATTTTGGAAGTCCATGTGAAGATTAAAGGGATGTATAAAGCTAGCCCCTTTTTGTATTTCAGTGATAGATTCCCTAAGTAGACTTGTTTCTTTCTCTGCTTATTCTGATAAATTGCAACATTAACTACAAAAAACTGATAGCTATTTCAGTTATGCCTATACAGTGTCTAGAGTAAAGGATATAGGGAGAAAGTTATGACGAAGGTAATGTGACATAAAGAACATGAACCCAATTATTGTCAGAAAAGCCAAATTACTTTTTTAAATGTGTACCTTGTAACTTAAATTTTGATTAGAGCATATGATGTCTTTAAGAGTAGTAAAAATTGGGAAGAAAGATGTATGAAATTGGCATCAAAAAGGTAGATGGATTTAAAACTGCTCGATGATGACACAAGTTATAGGAAAAGTTTCATTGAAATTTGATGTTTTTAGTCTTATAAATGGATTTAGTTCAGCAGCTTTGGTAAGAATAGAATATACTAACTCAAAAATTGTGAAAGCTTACCTTATAGCAAAATAAAATTATAATTATTTCCTACATATAATACAGAAAATACTTAGTATAAGATCAAGATGTTTAATGAATCATACCCATTACTTTCAGTGGAATGTGATGGGCCGAACATCCCGCATTGTCGTAGTGGGAGCCAAGGGAACGGGGAAGACGTCCATACTGGAAAGGGCTATCTATGCCAACCCTATTACCAATAAGGTAATTTATGTATTTTTAACTAAAGGAAAATGTTTTAACAGCAATCAAAAGTCTTGCATAATTTTAAGAGGAGACTTTTAAATCAATTTTGTTATGAGGAATCAGACATGTTCAAAGTTGATATTATGTGCTCATGATGATGATAATTGTTGATGTCAGTATAATACTGAATGGGATAATGCATCCAAAGTAAGTGTTATGCTGGCAGCAGTATGTCTTTGCTAAGCCTGTTCTCTAAATTTGACAGCAATATGCACCGACTCTGGAGGACACATACGTTGGAATCGTAGAAACAGAGAGAGGGACGCGTGAGAAGCTGCGGTTTTATGACACAGGTGGTCTTGATGCACGGAATAGGACCCTCCCTCAGCACTACCATGCGGTGGCAGATGGCTATATCTTAGTCTACTCCATAAATGATAACATATCCTTCCAGCTTTTGACGGATATAAAGAAGGATATTGATAAGAACAAGGACAAAAAGGATGTGAGTATCAAAAGAGTGGTTTTTATGAGGTCTTGCATAGTGTTAAGGATTGATATGATGTGATTTTTGGGTAAGATTAATCAATTCTTATGATTATCTTCAAAGAAATTGTACAATTTTTTGCCTTGATAAGATCATGTACTTTATAGCTGCTGTCAACCAGATTGAGAGTAAATACTAGTATTTTATTTCCTTGATTTTTTGCTTTATGAGTTTGTCAGGTTCATGGATTGATTGGATACATATTATAAATGAATGTTCATTGTAGAAGAAAAAACATTCAATCACTGTGTTAGCATTTTAAGGAAATTATTCTAATAATATTTTTGAGACCCAGAGAACATGTGAATTAAGCAGGAACATTTCTCATTACTTAAGTAAAGCAGTTTTCTTTGGTTGCATCTTGTAAGTTTTTTCTTTCCTTTTTGTATGTTGTGGTATGATTGCTCAGTTGTTTATACCACATTCGGAAATATAATAGAAAAAATATTAATACATAAATTGCATACAAACCTACAAAGGGGGTTTTGAAATTTGGTGTTCTGAAGTAAATAAATAGATAGGTAAATTAAGTGCAAACATTTGCACATCTCACACATGTACATATAGACCTGCACATACATACACACATGCCTGCGCGTTTGCGCGCACGCGCGCGCACACACACACACACACACACACACACACACACACACACACACACACACACACACACGCACACACACACGCACGCACACACGCACGCACACACACACACACACACACACACACACACACACACACACACACACACACGCACACACACACACACATGCACACACACACACACATGCACGCACACACACACACACATGCACACACACACACATGCACACACATGCACACACACACACACATGCACACACACACACACACATGCACACACACACACACATGCACACACACACACATGCACTTGCACACACACAATGTGCACACATGCGCGTACACACATGCATGTGCACACACACAATGTGCACACATGCGCATGCACACACACACACAAGTGCACACATGTGCGTGCACTCATGCATACACATACACCTACATGCACAGGCGAGCACACACATAAACATACACATACACATGTATACACACACTCATCTAGAGAACTTGTAACTACATTATAAAAGCTGAAACAAGATCAGAGACATATGAAAACCATAACATTTTTATGAACATAGATGCCTGTAGAATATGCTAAATGGCGTTTGCTTTCAAGGTCTGGTCGCTTCCATTTGAATAGTAAAATGACCACTCACCCAGTAAGATATCAGTGAAATCTGAAAGAAAATTAATAAATGTCTGTTTGTATCTACAATGCATTTCAGTAAAGAATGTGTAAAACTGGTTAAGATCTGAGTTCACTGTTTTCATGGTGGTTTTTATAAATTTATATGCCTCCTAAAATAGTACTTTAGGATAGTTTGAGGGTAATGGTATTTAGTTTGATGGGTCTGATGTTTGTGTAGTTTCTCAAAATAAGTCTTAAGGACCCAGAGCAACTTTAAGTCGAAAATGAAAAGGCTGATTTTTATTGTGTGTATATGCAGTGCTAAATGCAGAAAAAGATCCTGGAAACTTTAGGCCTGTTTTAAACATTTATAGGTATTTTTTAACCCATTCGCGACGGGTGTCATGTATCCGTGACATGCCCACTGTGAGTTTACTTGTTTAATTGTTTTTACGCATAGATGGCTACACTTGTACTTGTACTGCCTGTCTTGCCCGTTTACCCTTTTCTTTAATTTACAAAATATTCTATATTATCTTATTTTGCTGTTACTAATGTTTATAACATTATAGTAATTTTAATGTTTGTAATAAAAATAACCATCGATATTCATAGCACAAGTAAGAAATACATTTTCCTGCCAATTCAAGTAAAGGTGAAATCAGGTAAGGCAGAGCCATCTATGTGTAGAAACATTTCACAAAAAATATAAAATATGACCACAGCATTTTCCCCATTTTTTGTTCATTTTTACCTGTCGCAAATGGGTTAATTCTGTAGAAAGAGGTAAAAGACCACTTTGAAAATGTAAATATAAAATTCTTTTGTTCTATTTTGCAGCAGTAGCACTTGAAATTTCAGTCTCCCCTTCTATCTTACATGGCTGACTACTAGGATTGACAGTGTCTGCTTGCCAAGTTTTTAGTACTGAAAATTATAAACCTCATGCTATATTTTCGAGACAAAACTGTTTAAGATTTAGTAAATTAGAAGTTGGAATTAATTTGATAAGTTTTGTGGAGACAAAAATGTCAAATCTATTTAAACATATCTTAGACATACAGAGTTGAAGAAAGAAAAAAAAGAAAAGAAAAAAAAAATCTAGATAAAGATTGATGGATCATATAGTTCCTAGAACACTCCAGGTTCATAGTTGCCTGTTGATGGTGTCTCTTTTGTCTTTATGCTCCTCCTAGACAATATGCAGTCCATTTCATACATACAAACCTACATATCTGGCATTAATAGTAAAAGCAATTCTCATAAACAGGAGTGCTTATGCATGCCACACTTTAATGTATTTTATTTCCAATAAAAAAAAATATATATTAGTAACTGGTCTGTTCACATTTCAGGTACCAATAATTATTTTGGGTAATAAATCAGACTTGGGAGAGGATAACCGTGTCGTTGATCCAGGCTCAGCAGAGAAATGGGCCTCCAACGAGAGATTGCGTTTGTGGGAAGTGAACGTCCACAACCGAAACTTGTTATTGGAGCCCATCATGAATCTTGCCTCGCGCCTCAACCCTCAGCCAAGCAAGACCTCCTTCCCACAGCTAACAATGGGGCGAAAGAACAAAGACTGACTGTGGAGTGACTGGGAATTTATGAACTATGTTATTCATAAGATTCATGTCTTAACTACTTGTGGAAATTGTTGTAACAGTAAGTAGAATGTTTTAGGTTTCTTTATATTTAAAGATATGAAGATGATATATTTATTTATTTTTTTCTTCTTCAACAAGCAGCAAATTCTACATCACCTTCAAGAGTCTCTCTTTCCTCTTTGTAAAGAAAAGCAGCAAAAGCACCTTCAGGCAGAAGTAAATAAACCAATGGAGATCTGCTGGATAACTTTAATGTTGGCCTCTTTGTGATCAAGACCTACTACAACTAACTTAAAATCCTCACCATTTCCTCTTCTTCCTCTGCTCTCTCACCTTTTCTTCTTATCTCCTGCCAGTCACAAAGAGTTAACGGAGGAAAAGACAACATGAATGCTGACTTAGGTATGACTGTTTACAACAAGCATGAAGTTTAGTAATGTTTTTCATCATCATGATTCCCAGTAACGAAAAGAAAGTTTCTCATTATGCAGGTGGTCATTGCAGTTCTGACCATGAAGTGACATCACAGCAAGGAAATGTGATATTATGCAGTTTCAGAGCTTTTTAGTAGACTTTGCCCCTTTGTGTTTTTGATATAAATGAGCTTGGTAGAGGAGGATATACGCATATATATTTATAAACAATGTATATTTTCATGGTAGTTATTTGAAGATATGCTTTGGTTTGCCTTAGTCAGATTATTGCAGTTATTGCAAACACTGTAAAGGCAGATGATAGTCTATCAAGAAAGCAAGAAACAAATGTTGGTGCTTACATTATATAATAGCTTTTAAAGTAATATAGTTTAGGTTAATAATAGAAATGAAAATGGAAACTAGTTATGGAGTACATGTGCATGTCTGCATGAGTTACATTTGCTTTAAGTGCAATTTAGCAGTGCAGTATATTCATAACTTACATAATATATACATATATGCTAATTATGTATATTTAATATCACTATGTATGTAATACAGAGGGGCATAGTCTAAGAAAAAGCTTGAAACCTTTTGTCGTAAAGTGCAGAAGACATTATGTAAGTGATATTAAGAGTAAGTTGAATGTTTGCAGTTAGATCAATTTTGATCTTGTTCATATGCCTCCACATACATGTTGCCAGTGTGTTGCAAAACAACTAGGTAATCTTATTTTATATACTGTGAGTCAAGTGAATATACGATTGTCTTAATTTTTAAAATTAAATCTAAGGCTAAATTATAGTTAACATTGCTGTAGAAGTTGACCTGATGACTTAACAAATGCATTACAGTCTGCTTGTGAGAATATATAGCTAGCTTTCCTTGCTTTGCTGAGATTGATATCATCATGATGTTATTGGCTTTTATTTTAGAAGTGAATGTTAAGTGCATTGTATTTTCACACATAAATTATGCTAAAGTGATTATATTTGGTATAGGCATATTTGTCCCCTTGCTTAAGTGCAGAAAACTGTTCATTGGACTAGTAAAATGTTTCAGTCAACAGTCTCTTGAACTCAAGCATATTAGTCCAGAGTTAACAAATGTGCCCTCTAAGTGATGTACACTGTAATGAAGATGCATTTTTTTCTGTGAAATAAGAATTAATATCTTAAATCTGCAATGTGGATTAGCTTCTTTATTGGTCTGTTATCATCATCTTAGCATCAAAATTACCAGTGATGTAAGGAATCTTAATTGTGTTATTTATATTTGTTTGCTTATTATAAAAAAGATATTCAATGAATCCAGAAGTGGACATTTCAAAAAAAAAAAACTGCAAAATAGCACAAAGGACCATCTTCAGGAATATGTATAGATTTATGAATGGGATGCAGTTCTTATCTTAGGACTGATTTTCATATAAAGTTTGGATCCTTGGCATGTCAGGTTGTTTTAATGTTGTTCAGCAGAAGCCCATAAATACTGCAAATTATAATCTCATCATTCCATAGATCTAGTTAATGCTGCAATCTTGTCTTTTATAATTTAGCACTCTGTGCTTATTTCCACTTTTATTAAAACACTCCACAATATTCTTTCTTTCATTGATATAACCTTGAAGAAAAAGATAATCCTGTAGTTCATGCAGAATATAGGTGATCACTTTAATAGGACAGGAAATATAAATGTAGATGTTACATAGTGAATTCAATGTTTTTCAGATGCACATTTAGTGGAAACTACTAGAGGTCAAATCTTGTAGTAAATACTGCTTTTGTTTTTCAACTAGGCTTCTTAAAAAGATAAACTGAAACTTGTATAATTAGATTTTATAAAAAGGTTTCATTAATAAAACACCAATACTGTCTGACTAATTTGATGTTATTACAGGACTTATTGTTAACAAATATATAAATATGTACAGAATCTTGCTACAAACTATTTCGCTGTCTTTTGTAACAAGATACAATAGGAATCTTTACACAGCATGGAATTGTTACCTTCATGGGGGCAACTCTGGCTTGGTTTGTGCTTGTGGGACTTTACCAGCATTAACTATATTTACTAAACATCTCACTCCATGGGTCAATGGTTCCAGACCACACTGTACCTGGAATGAATGCCTTACTTCGGATATCTGTCAGTACAAGGCATGGGTTAGTACAGTGCAGTACTGGCAAACCACGACTACAATAGCTAGCAGGTATCTTGCATATCTCAAATTCCTTTCAAATATGAATGAATCTACTTCAACATGATATACCACAATGATTCTTAAAAAGAGACTGCCCATACATACAGTGAGTGCATGTGAAGACTCTTATCCCCCAGTGCCGGTAGTCTACCCCCACACACATCACAGCTGTAATCTCTTGCCCCTGTGTTACCTCAGTTGAGAAACCACTCAATTTCTCTTTAATATTTCCAAGTACTGCTGGAACTCGAGGGGACCACACTCCCCCTCCCCAAAAATTAAAAATAGACCGACCACAAACTTGGCCGAGTTTTCTGTTCAGCGATCCATGGTGTTTACTTGTCAGTACTTATGGGATGTCTAATACTGAGTGTGCACTTTAGGAGCAGATAGTTACTGAAGAATGAAGACAATTATGATGGCTGAGCACCGGAAATCACAAAGACTGATTGTGGACCCAGCCTTACTAGCCTCACACTGCCATTTTGCCCTGACTAGATGATATATAGTTTACTTCCTCACCCACTGCTTTTCTTAACTATTCCCCACCTCAACATTCTAATGAGTTAACATAGTTCTCTTATTTATATTATCACAAATCAGGCATAGCTTTAAAAGCAAGAATTGTAATCATGAAACGCGACCCAGTCTAATTTATATCAAGAACATCTTCCTGGAAATTATATCATGCAAGCCTGGGTGACGGTCAGTTCTGAGTGGCATCTCCCTTCACAAAGGCCTTCAGACCACCTAGAGTAATGGGTAGTAAAGAACCACTTTATTGATCCCAAGTCTGCATGAAACTGTGATAGAACACTGAAGTTGTATACAAGGAATTAGCATACACTGAATAAATATAAACAAAAAGCTGCACACTTTGTGACGATGCCTGGCAGACATTTGCTGTAACAGCAGCAACTGGACACAAACTTTAATATACAATTAGTTCACATGTTATGGCTCGTTGGAATGCTCATTACACTAGGCACTTTCAGATTGAACTCCTAAAAGGTAATAACCAATTTATAGATAGCACATAATCATGTATAACCATTTCTTATCTCTTTATATAACCATGACCAAAGAACCTATATATCAGAAGAGAGAAAGAGAGATGAGAGAGAGGAAAAAAAAAAAAAAAAAAAAAAAAAAAAAAAAAAAAAAAAAAAAAAACAGTGAACCATTATTGGGAGGAAATGTTTTGACTAATTAGACAAATAAGAACCTGTTATCAAGATACTAAAGAAAACCTAAACTTTCTTCATTTTGAAGTTATCATATAATCAATAGCTGTACTATACCTAAATTTTAATGTCAGCTAAAGATGATTATTATTTATTTTGAGCAACTGCATCAAACTTAACCTACCATTTAATGTAAACTGTAAATTGTACACGAGCCTACTGTAAACTGAGCGTAGCAACAACTACATACTCTAAAAATTTAGAATGACTCAATTTTCTTTTCTAATCTTAATACATCTTTGTTCAAATGGAGAATTTGTTGAAGTATAGGTACTGAGTTTGGCTTACTATTATTTTTTTTTGTTTTTTGTTGTTTTTTTTAATCTTCAAATCTACATATTTTGAACATTCCTCAAGTTAAGCTAAAGGTCAAATATATTGAATATGAACTACAAAACATGACTTTTCTATAAAAACTATTCAAGATCCATGACATAACTTATTTGGGGGGTAATAAAAAAATGCTAAAAACCTAGAGCAACAAAAATTCCTCTAGTGGAAAACTGTACACTTTGTTACCCACCAAAGTTCAGTGTATTATTAGTAGCAAAATATAGACGAAATTCACTGCAAAACTATTATCATCAATGAAGTGTCATACAAACTTAAACATGGATTAACTGTGTTGAAAATCTAAACGAACATCATATAGAGATCAGGTTCCTTATATATCACCTCTCTTGGAAATACTTCAATATATTAAATTATTTATAGTGATTAGTAACTATATAGTCTATGACATAATGCTCATACAATTATATCAAATTTATAGAGGTGGATAAATTACCTATAAGTTGTATCGTCTTTTTTGTCCTACCAAGAAAGCAAAACTTTTTTTTTTTCTTTTTCTTTTTTAACAGAAACAAACCTCAACAGCTAAATGCTCTTTTTTTTTTTTAAGTACTGTTTGATGTTCTCTTTGTAAATAACCCTTGGATTTGTTTTTATTTTTCACCATTTCAAAAGGAAACTCTATGTATCTAAACCTCTACAAAATAAGCAATAACTGTTCATCATGTCAATTGAGTTTATGCTTCTTCCATACAAAATAGCTTGTTGAAAATCCCGTGAATGTAAAGTGTTTCACTGCATTTTCTACAACCACTAGTGGAAAGAAGTAAAATAACTGCCAAAGTTCATCTTCTACGCGAGGAAGATCTAGTGACTTAAAGGCTTAGAAACATCTTTCACGAGTTGTAGAAAATTACTTTTATGAAATTTGGATACTACTACTTTTTTTTTTTTTTTTTTCTTGACACAAAATATATTTCATACTTGTTGGCTTTTGATCAAAGACAACACCCTTACCTATCTTCAAAATTCTCTCCTGAAATGTTGTTGAAAAGTCTCTTAGTAATCCCTCTATGCTAAAAAAATAAAAGAAAAAGTCACTTCTTGCTAAATTTTGTGAAGAAAATTCTAATACAGCATCAACATACAAGTTTTCATTTTCACAGCCAGATAACACTCTCTTGGCAGAGAATTAATTGCTCTATTACCCTAGATTGTCACTCACATTTCCATGCTCGTCTCCCAATAAACTACAGATACCAAATGAACTAAGCAAATATGCCTTGCAGTTGTTCAAACACTGGGCACTGTCACAGAGCTCGAAAGTAGCAAAACTGTCTTTGGCAGTGTTACAATATTTCTGTTTAATCTTCCATAATTTTTCTCTTTAATAGGCAAACAAATAAACAAACAAAAATATGTATGTCTGAAATATGGGTTCAGCAAAAAAAAAATGTTGGCAGATGTGGAGAAATACATAAAAAAAAAAGAAAAAAAAATTAAAAAAAAGAAAGAAAAAAACAAAAACTAAAAAAAAAGAAAACAGAGTCAGAAGCCACAACAAATCTTGGGTTTATATGTGATAAGGGCTCCTATGTGGCCAGGTCTTGCACCCACTCGAACATGGGACGATCTGCTTTCCTCTAGGAGTGGTGCTGGTCATACGAGAAGGAGAATGTGTGACGGTAGGCGAGCCTGGGTGGTGGCGTGGGCGGGTGCTCATTGGGTTCAGCTGCAGTGTCATTCATGCTGCTTCCTGGTAATGCTGTGGAAAATTTTAACCCATTTTAAATCTGGGAAAAGTGTGGGAGTTGGAGGTGTAATTATAGTGTATGCACAAATATGTAGGACTGACTGTACTGAGATACTATAATATCAATAGTGATACAAGTACATATTTAAAGTAACATAATGCACTAACAGCATCAATACCAGTAATAAATTCATATTAATAAAATAAAATAAAACAATTACTTTTTAAGTAAACCCAATGACTACAAATTTATGTACCGTCCTCTGTAGTTTTTTGTGAATATTGTTATGCATAGATGGCTCCACATGTGCTCAGCAACCAAAGAGTCTATCAGTAGGCCTTTGATTACCCCATTCTTTGAATTAGCAGGAAAGTGTTTATCTTTCTAATTCTACAAATACTGATACTTATTATTCTTACTGATATGATTATTAGATTGTTATTAAAATGTTGATAACATTAAAGACAAGAAAATCATAATGAAGCTTTCCAAAAATCAAGGAAAAGGGTGAACAGGTGAGACAGGTAGGATTAATAACTGACTCCCTGGTGACTAAGCACTTATAGTCATCATAAAGGCAGTTTCTTGGCCCACTCATCTCACCTGTTTACCCTACTCCTTGAATTTTCATAACAAAGGCTTAATTTATTATTATGGTACTGTTCAAAACATTAAAGTAATAATAATAATAATAAAAAAAAAGTATTAAAAATAAAAACTTTTTTTTACCAACAATTCAAGGAATGGTGTAAATAGGCAAGGTCCTGTTTGCCTTATATATAACTTCTTTGTGACTAATTGCTTGCATACTCATCTATGTGTAAACAAAATTAACATAACAAAACTACATTGGACTATAGGTTATTAGCACTTATGATAGTGAGCAATAAAATCTTCCATTCAAAAAAATTCAATAATTCAATGGGATAAACAAGTGAGATTTGGCTGGCCTTGTTGTTGACTCCATTGTGACTCAATCAAATGAGGAGACATCTGCATGTAAGTAAAATAAACAGAACCAAGACAAAGTGGGCAGCGCATGTACGTGGCATCATTGGGGTACAGCAGTGTAACTAAGGAACCCATTGACATCATGGAACAAAATTGATGGTACTGGATCTTTCCCTGTCCCAGGAGGTCATTTACCTGCTTGAGGTCCATTTGTATGTCTCCTTGCCATAGGCGTTGGCGACGAAAGGTCCACTGAGTTGTTGCGCCTGTGAGGAGGGGGGTCTAGGTGGTACTGCTGGACAGGGGGTGGAGGGGCAAGCAGGGAAGGTGGACTGGGCCGGTGATGGTGGCCATGATGGTGATGTGATGGATGATGATGGAGGTTGACATTACAGAGGGAATGTCCTGATGGAGCATGGTGGTGGTGCGTGGGGCCATGCTGAAGGCCCCCTGAGGAAGTCATGCGGGGCAGGGTGGCCGTGCGTGGGGGGATGGGGGGCGGGGAGACGTCTCTTGGAGGCAACTCTGGGGCATCTTGGGCCTGTTTCACCTGAAAGACAAACATATATCATATCTAAATATTCCCAGTCAAGTGTACCCTCAAAATAAATAGTATAAGTGGTTATAAATATGAAGTCGTGAAACAAGCAACATCATTACTTTGTGTTTGTCAAGGAGTTTATTGAAGAAAATTTTCTTTAGATGTCAACAGAAAACATTCTGCATAATAATTCCACATTACCTCCTGAAGATATACACATTAACACCAAA